TTTTTCAAACTCATATAATCATACTGAATATGAAAATTATTTCGTTATTATAATTAGACTTATTGTATTCATATCACTTGCTAACAGATGAAACAAAATACAAAATAGAACTTACAAAGAAACGTATAGATCGTATGTCCGTTTGAAATCAACAAATATATTTTCTGAAGAAAAAGTGATTGAACAATTGAAATAGTTTCATCGTATATGATGTAACTTTATTTTTAACATGTACGCCTACAACTGATATGCTTATTCAAAAACTTATATTTCCTGATTATTTACTTGCTATTATTTGATATGTATACATACGAAACTATGATCATTATTGTTTTTATTAATTGCAAAATAGAACTTTATCTACTGAATTAATCATATTATCGAAGCAGCGAAATAATAAGCATTGAAGTTTTTACTGAAATTCAGAAAATCGATCACAACTTTCGAAACTAATGCAAATAACTCGTATATGAACAAGCTTTACACTACTAGATTCAATTGATATAAAATTTTTTTTTGTAATTATCAATACTATATGTAAAAATTAAATTTGATTCTAAAACATTTTAATCGATCATTGAATTCAATTGTCACTTCATTTTTCTTATATCCTATTTCCTGGAAAATATCTTTGATGATAAACATAATTATTTGAAAATATTTGCAAAATCGATCGACAATTGCAAAGAAATATCTTGTATCTCTAGTTGAACTTATTCGTTCTCAATACAAATATTTCTATCAATATTAGTTTATTAAATTAAGAATTTCTAGTTTTTCTGGATTTTATCATTCAGATCAAAGATTGTGACAATTAAACAAAACTGTAAATAATCAGACAATATATGTACAGCAAGTGCGTGAGCAATTATAATGCTGCTTACATTAACATAGGTGTTTGATGACAATTAAGTACATATTATTTTGAAAAAACCTTATACCTCGTCCTTAAAATCTTTCAGTTTCAGCTTCAAATGCTCATGAAAAAAATAATACTAACTTATCTGAAAATAAAGTAAAGAAACTAGATATCTAAGATATTCTACTCTTAGCTGATACACTTTTGCACGTTAACTGATAATGAAATATTAAATGAATTGAATGATTATTCACTTATTTGAATGGAAAATTGTAAATTGATATTGTACAAATCAGGGGTAAATAAAAGTACAATTTTTTCTTCAATATGAAAAGAGAATCTTAAGAAAACTTATATGAACAAAGTAAAAGTTCAATCTGTCAATGTAGCTGCAAGTACCCATAGAAGATTTAATAAAACGCTTTAAGAACATCAGAATCATCATATGAACTGAGAATATTTCACAATATAATAAGTGTAACATCCACAAATAAAAAAATAAAAATATTTTTATATTTGAAATCGAATTCACAGGTGTATGAAAATCTAACAAAGAAATCGATGCCTAAGAATCAGTGGCATTTTAATTCAATAGTTCTCTTTATCAAGCTAGTGTTTGAAGGCAAGATTACATGTAATGATAAATAAAAGATTATTGATTGTTCATTTCATTGAGATAATTAATACAATTCTGAAGTACTTAGAGAAATATTGATAAATCCACCAGTAGCTAACACGTCTCCATTTGTTAATATCGATGTTGTATGTTCACTTCGTGCACTATTCATACTACTAGTCGCTGTCCAAAGTCCTGTTGATGGATCATACAACTCAGAACTATTTAGATATAAACTACCATCATATCCACCAGTAATTAATACTTTTCCATTTGGTAATACGGATGCTGTGTGTACATATCGTGCATTATTCATACTACCGGTCGTTGTCCAAGTTCCTGTTGATGGGTCATACAACTCAGAAGTATTCAGAAAAGAATATCCATCCCATCCACCAGCAATTAACACATATCCATTTGTTAATATCGATGCTTTGTGCGAATATCGTTCAAGATTCATACTACCAGTCACTGTCCAAAGTCCTGTTGATGGATCATACAACTCAGCACTATTTAGATATAAACTACCATCATATCCACCAGCAATTAATACTTTTCCATTTGGTAATATGGAGGCTGTGTGTACATACCGTGCACTATTCATACTACCAGTCGTTGTTCAAGTGTTTGTTGATGGATCATACAACTCAGTACTATTTAGATATAAACTACCATCATATCCACCAGTAATTAATACTTTTCCATTTTGTAATACGGATGCTGTGTGTACATATCGTGCATTATTCATACTATCAATCGTTGTCCAAGTTTCTGTTGATGGGTCATATAACTCAACACTATTAAGATAAGAAATACCATCATATCCACCAGTAACTAATACTTTTCCATCTAATAATACGGATTCTGTGTGCACTGTTCGACTATGATTCATATAACCAGTCATTGTCCAAGTTCCTGTTGATGGATCATACAATTCGGCACTATTTAAGTATAAACTATAATTAAAACCACCAGTAACTAACACTTTTCCATTTCGTAATACAGACGCTGTATGGTCACTTCGTGCATCATTCATATTACCAGTCGCAAGCCATCCTAAAAGAACCATGTGAATATATTCAGACTGAAAGACGGAGTATCATCGAACACATAAATATTGTCTTTTATATCTTAGGTATGAAATTGTGGTAGTATTTTTGGCTATATCTTCAATTGCACTGAATTTACGAGTTTTTTTTATTAGATTATAGCTTCTTATTTTCCGATCGTATGAAAGTATTTAATCTGTTTTGATTTTTCATCTAATTTTTCTTTTCTATTTTAAAATTTCTCGAAGTGAACTTCGATTTGAAGCAAGTTTCAATCACAATTCAAACAGAATACTTTGTTTCATTTTTATACATTCCGTCTATCTTTACCTGTTTTACACAAATTTGTTGCTGACCATGGTACACATACTGCTTGTGGTGAACAACACGAGTTAACGACGCATACAGAAGTAGCCGATGCACAAGTAAAGGTAATATTGTTACATGGTTCCAAAATGGAACATAGAATACCAGGTGCACAATAACTAGTCTTGTTCAACATAAAGTAATAGAAACAAGGTGTTGATGATGAACGACAATTGTTGTTATCATTGAAGCTTACATTACATTGTTGCAAAGAACAATTCGATGCTGGTTCCCATTAGAGTACTGCAACCCGACCCGACCCGACCCGCACCCGAGCCCGACCCGCGGGTACGGGCGGGTTCGGGTTCAATCTTGTCGGGTGCGGGCGGGCTCGGGTTCAATCTTATCGGGTCGGGTCGGGTACGGGTCTGTCAGCCGTCGGGTCGGGTCGGGTGTGGGTTTGAAATTAAAAAATGTCGGGTTTTTATCGGGTCAGTTTTTTTTGCGTATGTATGCTTCCGCCCTCTATTTTCGTTCGTCTTAAACTCACAGAATAATAAAACTCAATTCTATTGGTCAATGATTCTCAGAGTCTAATGAAATCAGAACGTAATGCTGTTATTAAAAATATACGAATACTTTTAAAAACTCTAGGTATAGATCAACAAGTCGATGAAGAAACAACAGAGACAGGTACCAACAACAATTCCTTAACACATCAAAAACGTATTAAAATAGACACTGTACACGATGTTCTCAAGTCTTTTAATGCATTTGTAGACTCATCATCAGACGATGATGATAAGAGGCCGATGGATAAAGTAGATGATTATATTAAAGCGAAAATATCATACCCAAAAGGAGAATCACTTTTACAACAGTGGCAAAAACACTCTATCATATACAAAAAGTGAGTTTCTTGATTACTATATCATTCTCTTTAAATGCACAAGAAAAATTCAATAAATTAATTTAAATTTGATTCTCCTTAGGTTATCATTATTTGCATGTTCTCTCTTAGCAGTACCTGCAGGTTCTGCTGTATCTGAAAGAATATTCAGTAAAACAGGTCGGATTCTTGAAGTTCGACGTCAACAATTATCACCAGAATCACTTGACTCTCTTATTTTTTTACGAAATTTCTCAGTTGTTTTGTATAAATTGAAGATGTATTATTGATATTTGTACGATACTTATTGTTATGATCATTATCGATCTTAACTGTTTGAAATGTATGTATTTGAATGGAAATGTGATCATACTAAGTTGTGATGGTTTTTTTTGCAATCATGATTATCTATGTGTTTTTTATTGCTATAAAGCTTCTATCATTTTTTATGCTTAATATTGCAATAAACTGATGTATCTTTATAAAATAAACGAATTTAAATCTCTCGGGTCGGGTCGGGCTCGGATTCAACTATCCTCGGGTCGGGTCGGGCTCGGGTCCAACTATCCTCGGGTCGGGTCGGGCTCGGGTTGAACCTTGTCGGGTCGGGTCGGGCTCGGGTTGAGCCTTGTCGGGTCGGGTCGGGCACGGGTACGACTAAAAGACCTCGGGTCGGGTGCGGGTTCGAAAAATCAAACCCGCGCAGGACTCTAGTTCCCATGCTGAATGAGGCAACGAAGACAATATAAATTGGACAGTAGCATTATTTTCATAACAGTAGTAATTTGTTACTGCTGTAGTTTGACCTAAATATTGTTTGTATTGTGAACGAATGAAATAAAAAGAAATAAATCAGCAAACCTTGCACACATGAAAAGAAGAGTCCGAAAACCAAAGTTATTACAAATAACATTATTTCGATGTAATGAATGAGCAAAAAGAAGTATTCAGAATGAATAATTTTTTTTTCTGTTGTGTCCTATATCATTGACTGAGTTTGTCTTTCAACTTGAAGCACACGAAAATGTCTTATTCCGATACTTATTTATTTCTTTGTAATAAAAGAAACCTGCCGTTTAAATAACATTAATTATACTTTTTTATGTTATTTATTCATTGTCAAAATAAGAGATCGAATTTTGTTATGAGTCTTTTCCTATTTTTACTAAATGAATTATATTTATTTGCTGTCTTCAACAAAGTATATTTTCTACCTTCAAGATATTTTAATTGTGTCACTGCTGTATTTAAATGAACGTCTGTTTGCTATATTCGAATAAAAGATTTTATGATAAAGTTTTTTCTAATAGAAGTTTAGTTCTTTCCTTGATTGGCGTTATATTTTTAAACTGTAATATATTTTGAATCATGTATTTACCTCTACTGTAAAACACAGAACAAAAAAAAAATTATTGCGACATTACATTTCAATATTTAATTTTCGTATTTTATTTATCAAAATTTTGTTTAAGATAGTCGTCGTTCATGGTTTACTATTTTGATTTAAATATAAATTAAATAATTCTTTTGAATTTTTTTAAATTTCAATATTCACTTATATCGATGTGAAGCGAACACAATGGATTCAGTTGAACTCAAAATCTTTAATGTTCGGCTTTATGGAAATGAGATCTGAATGTGACTCATTGGTAATACGTATCAAAACATTCTCACCTTTATTCGATTTCTACAGTCCAAGTATAAAATATTTTCGATAGATCTGAATTTGTTTTGTTACCTTTGTATCAATTATATAGATGAATTTTTCATTTCATGTCGAAAAAAAAAATTGAAATAAAGTTCTGCTTTATATCAAACATTTTTTTATAAATTTAACCCAAAACTTTAGGGTTTCATTCATGCCTAGCAGCTAGTAGAAATCTTATCCTCAATTGAAAAAATCGCTTCCAGACTGCATATAAAACTGTAATACGAACCCAATTGAGCTCAGCTGAACTGTTACTGATTTTATAAAAATAGGATGGCATCAACAAAAATACGTAAGCTTTAGTTGCACGTTTTTTGTTCTATCTTCATAGCAATTACACTCGTTATTTTCATAGCGATGCGTCACTTCTATACGGCATACTTCTGTTATCTTTGTCTGTTTTGAATTTCATCAATTTTCTGTACAGCAACGTGATGCTAAGTCACACTCAATCGAAATATTGAAAGAATTCTGCTTTAACATTGCATTATTGCTACCTTTATTTTTCCAATGTGTTTTTCTGTGATTGACAATATTTATTCCTTTCCATGACACAATCAATATAGTGCGTGTCTTTTATCACTTGCAATTGAAGAGGAGAAAGTAAGTTCAATATTGACACGTACTTTATTATTTTCTTAGAATGGCATTATTATTGCTTGAGAATTATTAAGTTGAGTAACAGGTCTATGAGAGTATTTTTGTTTGAATATCGATTGATTCATTCTCTTATTTTTCATGTAAAATAACTACTAAATGAGTTTGATGCTGTTTCGAGCTTAAAGTAAGTTTTAAGAGTAAAACAAGTGTTTTATATCAGTCTCATTTATTTCTACAAGTATATTCAAATTATTATCAATGAGAATTTTATTTATTCACATTCTATTTTAATAGTAATTACTAGAAGCATGATAATTGGTTTCCTTATTCTGCTTCTATTGATGACTGTCAATAAGAGTACGTAAGGTATGATGTTGATTTTCATCACGAAATCAATAAGGGAGGATTCATAAGTTTTGACGCGTCTCAGTAAATCGATAATATTTTTGAGTAAATATTTTCATCTGATAGTTTTTGAGAAAATATTTTTAAAATCTAAACGATTTACAAATAGTAAAAATCAAATTTCATTATGCGTTGATCTTGTTTTCAACCTTTTTTGGAATATTGTTAATCATATTCTCACATCTTTCTACACTAAATTTTTTTTATTTATTAGTAATCTTTTTGTTTGGCTTTTTAAGTAATCCTATCAGAAAGATTTCTCATTAATATGATCGATCTACTGAAAGGAGTCAAAACTTTTGAATGTTATTTAGGCTCATATACGATTAGAATCAAGATTCCAAAAAATCTAACTTTATCCTTCAATGGAAGACAAAGTGGATAATTCAAAGCAATGTCCGATTCTCGAACATCGTCGGCGATCGATCCTGGTGAGTTATTTAGTCACTACTGCCACACATGGCCTACGCAATATCGGCATTGCTCACAGTACATTGCATCAAACATTTTGGATTGTCACCTTTGTAGTCATGTTCAGCTTTATGTCCTATTTCACTTTAATTGAACTATTGCAATATTTTGCTTTTCCTACACAGATCAGCATCGACATTGTGCCTATACGTGATATGCCATTTGCAGCGGTGACTGTATGCAACGCTAATCCGTATAGGAAAGATCGAATGGATGCAGCAGTAACAGCTTATGCCCATGAAATGGGTATCAATCTTAATGAATCAACTGTTGAGTCATTAGCTTTTCACATGCTCATCACTATGTTCAATCGAAATGAGTCTGATGAATTCGAAAAGTTTGGATTTCAGCTATCGGATATGTTACTTGCATGCTCGTACAATGGTATTAATTGTTCATCGAATTTTGTTCATTCTCTATCGTCTATCTATGGTAATTGCTTTACATTTAATTGGAACACGTCTATCAATAAAGTATTTACGCTAGCTGATCTAGGTTCAATATTGGTAATGTACGAAGGCTTGTCAATGACTTTTTACATACCAAGTCATCTTAGTTTCCCATCAACAATCTTCGAGAATGGTCTTATTTTATTCTTGCATGACAACAATGAACTTCCATTCCTAGCTAAAAACAGTATACGATTACGACCAGGTCTCGCTCATACAATAACATATCGAAAAAGTCAAACAATTTTTCTTTCTAAACCTTATACAAACTGTACAACTACAGTTGAACGTAATTTGCGTCATATCTACGAGGTTATCTTCGATCCACATTTGGCCCGTCAAGTAGCCTATTCCGAAGCTTTATGTTACGAATTGTGTGAACAAGCTTACATTTTCTCAAAATGTTCTTGTATTTTACCTATTCCATTTCTCATGCGACATGTCTTCTCATTGGATCATGATGGACTTTTGATCGCAAATACTTGTATGCCGAACACTAAAGAAGAAAAATGTGCATTAACTGCACGGCAACAAATAGTCATAAATTCATCTCTCATGGCTGTTTGGTGTTCCCGATGTGCTCCACAATGTACACACACACAATTTTCGATCGATGTTAGTGCATTACCAGCGCCAACTACGCAACAAAAAGCATCATTGAAAAACTCTTTGCTAGAAAACAGTTTCGATGTGTCCTTGCCCAATGATTTTGCTGCGAATTATGATGCCTACATGGATGCCAATTATTTACGAGTGACCGTAACATGTGCTAGTTCATATGTAACAACGCATAAACAACAGGCTAAATTAACGTTCGTTGATACATTTTCGGCCATTGGAGGACAAACTGGATTGTAAGTAAGAGCTTCTTCTTTTTGACAACATTCTATTATAATGAGTTAATTGTAGCTGGATTGGTCTTAGTACGCTAAGTTTAATGGAATTCTGCGAGTTGATCTATCGATTAATTATGAAACAAATTACATTGTGGCGATATTGGCGAAACAGTCACACTGAAGTGCAAGTGATATCGCCGACGACCACAACCGAAAGTATACCAAATCAATCACAATAACAAATGTGGATTATTTTGACGAATAAATATAAATATTTTGAAAAAACTATCTATTTTAGAAACACATTTGATTGAGACTCTCTAAAACATGATTAAAAAAATTTAAATAATATACTTGTAGGTTTAAAATCTGTAACATAATCAAATTATTTTAATCATAAGTGGAACAATATTGATTTAAATAAAAGTTTATGATACAGTTACAAAAATAACAATACAAGATGTCTGTTATAGTTTATGAATAAGAGACTTGAAATTTCTAGAAAAAAAATATGACAGTTCAATCAACATGGAGAAGTTCATCAATTCAGCATTTATAGAATAGTGATCATGGCCTATGGAGCAGTTTTGAAATGGATATAGTATTCAAAATCTTCAGCATTCATAAAAAAAATAGAAATATATATAAACTCATATAGATATCTAATTAAAAAACTATATTTCAAACTAACAGATAAACAAAATAAATAGATTAAAGTTTGTACAAATATCATAGACTTTACAATTTGGAAAAAAATTATGTTTTTGAAAAAGATGAAATATTAAATAAACTAATATTTATTATGTAAGAATTGCCTTTGAGTCAAATTATCATCTATCGAGCACTCATCTTGATTAAGTTTATGAATTTTCAAATTATTGTGTTCTACCACTTCTTGTGCCACATCGTGATTTATCTGTTCATAAGATAAATTTTGTCTTATCGTCATATTCACTTGACGAAGACCAGTTGCCAAGCTTCGAATGTTTCTACGTTTTGCTGTCAATTGATTATGTATTTCTTCTAGTTTTCTATCTACATCGGCTTGAGCTATTCGACGTTGATCAATTTTAATGATAACATTGTTCTTGTTTCTGTTCAATGCATTGTATACTTTATTTTTCTCATCATAATTATTTGTTACTCGCTTTAAATTTTCTTTCCTATTATCTATTTCGATTTTCTTTTTATCAAAAAGTTCTTTGATAGTTTTTGTTTCATGAACCTTTCGTTCAATATTATGATCGAGCTGACGCTTACGAGCATCAATACCATTTATCTGTTGATCAATATTTTTTAATGTTAATTGAGTATTATCCAACTGTTCTTTATGAGAATTATATTTCTCGTGAGTCGTATTCAATTCTAATCTTTTTTGATTGACTTGTACTTGTAAATCAGTTAGAATTTCTTGTTTTTGATTTAGAAGATTTTGTTGTTGATTGATTTGACGAGATAAGTGACGTATATCATTTTCATGTTGTTGTTTTTCTCGTTGTTGTATTAGTAAATCATCTTGAATTTTATTATGTTCTTTATTCAATATTTCTTGTTGTCTTTGTGAATTACGTAATAATTGTTGTTGTTCAGCTAAATCATCTTCTAAATCAAAAACAGATCTAGTAATTTTAGCTATATTAGTTCTAATATTTTCTATGTTATTATTGGCTCTTTGAAGTATAATATTCCGTTCATTAATCATATTTTGTTGTTGTTGAATTTGTTGTTCATTCTTTTGAAGTTCAATAAATTTGCTATTTAGTTGTATCTCTATTTGTCGATTTTCATCTTGTTTTGTTTGATATTGTTTTTCTATACTATGTATTTGTTCGTTTAATTGAATAATATCATAATCAGATTTTTGAATTTTTTGTCCGAAGTTTTCAATGGATTCGTTCATTGATTGAATATCTTTTTTTAATGTTTCTATTTCTTTCGTTTTTTTATCAATATCAGTTTTCAATTTAGATTCTTTTGAATGTTTGTCATTGATTTGACTTTTCACTTGTTTACATTCTTTTGATAATCGATTCCAATGATTTTTAACTTCATTATAAGTAATTTTCTGATTTTCAAGTTTGGTTCTTATTGAAATAGTTTTTTCATTTTGATTTGCAAGTTGTTCTTCTTTTTGTGTCAAACTATCTGTGGCTTCTTGATATTGTTGTCGAATTGAATTTACTAAAGCCTGAACATCAGCATAATTTTTTTCCCGAATGGCTAGAACTCGTATACTGTTGTCAAAAGTATTTTTCATTTGATTGACGTTTTTTTGACATCGTTGATAATTGTTATGAGCTTTATTGATTGCATCCTGATCTTTTACTTCGGCATTTTCTGCGCGTTGTAATTCTCTTTCAGCTTCATCTAGTGCTAATTGTGCATTATTTAGCTGAGTTTCTGCTTGAATTTGATCTTTTATAGCTTTTATTTGATCATTTCGAGCTGTTGCTTCTTTAATTTCACTCTTTTTAAGATTCTCTTCATATAAACGCACTTTCTTTTTTTGTTCTGTTACGATTTGTTCATTTTTACGTTGTTTTATAGTTTCGATTCGTAGTTCTTGTGTTAGTCGTTGTATTATTTGTTTTTCTTGGTTCATTTGAGATTCATATTGATCTCGTTCAGTAGTCAAACGTTCAAAATTAGTTTCAAGTTTTTGCTTTTCTTCTTGAAGATTTTTTAAAGATTCATTAAGTTTTACTAATGATTCTTCAGTCATTATTAATTCATTATTTGTCAGTTGAAGTCGTTGAGAAACATTTTGTCGATTACGATCGATATTGATTCGTTCTTGATTTTTTACTTGTATTTGTTTTCTGAAAAATATAATTACTTCATCTTTATATTTCATTTTCAATATATCGATATTGATCAATAATGATGCTCCATAAGACTGAACTAATGCCAAGACTAATACTACTCGAATTGCCGAAAATGATATTGATGTATATTCCGTTGACTTTTAAACATATGAGAAAGACACATTGAGTTTAACTATTAGTCGCCATATGCATGTTGTTCTTTCGAATAAAAATATTTTTCATGTATGAATTTCTTTTGTTTATTTTACTTTCAAATTTCAAAAAAAAATTCGGTTTTTCATTAGATTTGAAATTCAAAAAACCAAAGTCGAAAAACTTTGCTTTGACCCAATTACAGATTAATTCTTCAAATGTCATGTTAGAGAAATCATCATATCGCTCTTATGATATCATAATGATCTTTGATAGACTTGTCCCAAACATTGGATTTCGATTGAAAGATCCAATCAGACTTTTCGACGCTGAGAGTTTAGTCTATCAGTTTGTTTCGATCAATCATTAAAGTCAAAAGACAATACAGTATCGTATAGGCTTTGTCTTTCACGACATAGCTCAGGTGAGTGAGATACGGCCAGAAAGCTGGAGGAATTTGGAAGCATGAACTCAGTGATTAGACACGTCGGTCGAATTCATCCAGTTCCAGCCGAAACAGAATTTAGAGCCGTCTAACTGGATACGATTATCGTATTCTTACCTCTGAATTTTCAACGTTTTTAGAGATTTTATCGACTCGGAACCGCGTCTCTTAACTATCGATTGATTCAAGAAACGTCTGGAAGAAGTCCTTAGATAAATCAAATGAAAAGCAAAACGACTTAATAATTAGTGATGATCTTTCAGAATAGTCAATATTGTCTAATAGAAATCGTATAAAATAAATCAAAGTAATAAATTAATTTTCTATTGGTTTACGTACTCAAGACTTTGCTTTTGCTGATTTAATTGTTGCATTTGTCTTTCCTCTTGTACAATTACTTGTCTCAATCTATTTACTTCCACTCGACTTTGCTCGGTAACATCTTGTAACAATTTCATTTTTTCTTCAAGCGTAATGAGTTGTTGTTTTGCTTGAACTATTTCGGCTTGAGCTTGATTCTCTTCAGCTTGTAACTGTTGTTTGTATTGATTATATTCATTCATTCGATTTCTTTTCATATCAATTAATTGTTCAAGACGTCGAGTCATATTTTCAATTTTTCTAATTTCAGTTTCAAGACGATCACGAATCGATTCATTTGCATTCAATTTTTGTTCAAGTTCAATATGTCGTTGTTCAATTGTAGTTAATTCTTGTTCGAATTGACGCATTTCTTGTTGAAATTGTTTAATTTTATTTTCAATTTGACGAATTTCTTTCGTCGATTCCTTTAAACTCATTTTCAATTCTTCTTGTTGTTCTTCGAGCTGTTGAATCTGTTGAAGACGTTTATGTTGTTTCTTTTCCATATCTTGGCATTTTTGTTTTAAATTTTTTGATTCTTCTTCTAAATGAATTTTTTCTTCAGTTAATTCGTATAATTTTGTTTGAAGTTGTTCAAGTTCATCTTCATTTCGATCTAGTTGTTGTTTTAAATGATCATATTCATTCTCTTGTTGTCGATATTCGTCTTCGATTTTTAATTTTTCATCACGTAAATTTTCAAGTTCTTGTTCGACTCGTTCGATTTCAGAATTTCTTTGTATGAGTTCTTCATTGAGTCGACGTAATTCACTTAGATGTGTTGTTGTTTCATATTTATATGTTTCCTTGTCCTCACATAGTTTTGATTCTTTACTTCTAGCATGGTTTAGCTTTTCTTCAAAATTTTGTTTTTGATTTTCAAGCTGTTGTATTTGTTGTTCATCGAATTGTTCATTAGTTCTATCTATGACAACTGGTGTCACACTTTTCTCGTATGTGTAATTCATGGAGCTAGTCATTCTTCTAATATAGAATACGAAAATGACAATGCTCTTTCATTCGTATTTATAATGATATTCTCTAAGTGATGTAATTACTTTGGAAATAAAAACTTCCATAAAAAAGAGTCATATATTTCGCGGGGTTTTTTCTACAGCAAATATTTTCATTTGTTTTCTTTGTGATTTCTAATGACGCACAGATGAATAAATAACAGAACAAAACGAAAACAGGTAAAAACAATATTTATAATAATAACACATTCATCCTGGCATATGAGCAATCTTTTTTTTTCTTCATCAAAACGTGCCCTCTTTCTTCTCGTTTTGATTGATTTCTTCTTGTTTTCATTACTTTCCAAGAATAACATGAATATGTTAATTATTTTAATGTGGACATCTTTCGGCAATTAGTGATATTTGAAAGATAATTCACACTATCATTATTTCTAGAAATAAATACAGCCAACAAATATATTATCAAGCAAAATAGACAGATGTGACGCTTAAAAACGAGTTTTGTTGAAAATTGAATTTGTTTTTCTAATCCATTCCCTTTCGATTTAGAAACTTTCAACTCTTTTCTTGATTATTTCGTGTATTAAATTAGTTATCATTATATTATTGAATAGACAATCAAAAATACATTGTTTCTGTTCTTCTTATGCGTCGTTAAAATAATGAAATAACTGTGGGTAAAAAAAAATAGTCCATAATGATTAAGGATCATATAATTCTCTGTACTTCTCGATATAAATTTGCCTAGTTATTTATTTTATTTTTTTTGAGATTTACCAACGACGTAGTTATGAAGAAAGAACGAAAGAAACTGAAAGACTTTTAATAGAAGTACGACATTGAAATGACAATATTTTATAAGATTAAATAAATGTTTTCTCTTATGAGTCAGGTGGGAAAAAGCAAAATTTCAAAGCTTCGATGTAATAAAGCTGCAGGGTCTTTTTTCGCATATTATGAGTTTATTCGCTATAAAAGTAAAATTTTTTGATCGTGTTTCGTAGAAGCATTTATTGATAGTTGTATAGAAGTATATATATATATATAGTTAAAACCTACAGAAGAATAAATCGACAGGCAAACAATGGCGAATGATCAATGGATTTCAATCGTCGATTATTTACAGTCTGACGCAGATTTTAATTATAAAAATTTTGCAACTATCCGTAGCCAATATCAACAAGAATGTGGTGGATCATTTCCTTCATTGACTAACGAAGCTGCACTTAAAAAAGTAGCACAACAACTTAAAATCAAAATCGATACTGATGCCAATTTTGAATTATTATGTGATTGTGTCATATCTTCAAATGCAGATGATTCTCAATTAGTAGTACAGAGTAGACTAAATGGTGCAATACAACCACAGCATAGGGCAACTGTGGAAAAATCAAATAGTTTTTCTTCAAAAACAGATTCAGTTACTACTGTCAATAAAGGTATAAAGAAAGAATTTTTCAATTTACGTTTTTACAGAAACAAATATTTTCCATAAGAAGAAAAAAGAAAATTATTAAAAACTAACACGAAAGAAATTTTCATAATGACTGGAAATATTTGAGGAAAATGTCTCATTCTTGTGGAACTTTCGTTAGGACTAAGAAATTTTCTTTCGAAAAATCTAAAATGAATGCGATTTATAAACCCGGCTTGTGCTCAAAAATTTAAAAGACTTTTATTTCAGTATGAGACAAATCTTACGTTTGAATCGGTAAAAATAACTGAAAAGTAACTCTCTAATAGAATTTCAAAGAGAAGAACATCATGTACACAAATCCAAGACACTAACAAATTCTCTTCTCATCTTAAGATTCATCTCCATTGAACAATGACAACAATATAAAGTTCCTTTCTGATATTGATTGTTTGGTAAGCATCAAAATGGCTTTTTCTCAAGTATCTACTTTTATTCGATCATTCCTACTGAAACCAATCTCTGAACTAGATCAATCATTACAAATGTAATAGAAGCTTTTGTCTTTTCTTTCGAATAATATGTTCTTTCTATATAGCCCTACCATATCAACATCGAATTCGATCGCTGACCAACAACCATTTGTTCTCGATGTTAAGTGCCCACTCTACTTATTTATTCGAGAACAAATGTCTAAATATCCTGTTGTTATATCAACTGCTCATTCCAATTCGACTCGTTTTCGTCTTGTCGAACAGATTCGATTAAATGATGAATTCGATAGATGGGAATATGATCATTTACGTGGTCTGTTTGATTTAGAACTTGAACCTCATGTTAGCAACACTCGATTTCCAACTCGATGGCAGTTAGCTAATAATGTATCGATCTACTGTCGCATCAAAACAATCAATAACAATGAACAAAAAACATCATCGTCACATTTCAATAGATTACATACGGACTCACTCGACACATTTGTACAGAATGTTTGTGCACAAGAGAACAATAGTCGAAGCAATGATTGGTTAAAAGCACTCAGAGATGCAGATATAGTTCATTTTGAACATTTGACCAGTCTAGATAGAACAGAATGGGATAGAATTCCAGGATTGACCGTCAATGCAAAGCGAATATTGAGAGCAGCAGCTGATCGACATCGAACAAGTACTGTTGGCGGACAACGTCAACAAATTACAAATAATACTAAAGATGAAAATACAGAAGAGATCGAAGCTCTTACTATATCAGGTTTGTCGATCAATAAGTATTTCATTCATAATTAGTTTGTTTGTATATTGAAGAGAATTTAGCAATTTCCGATTCTGAACTTTATGCTAATCTGCATTTAATTAAACTATATGTGTGGCATATATTATGTGATCAACCAGAAGTAAAACGATTTGGCAATTTAGCTAAACTTGAAACAAAATGTTTAGATGAAGCATTTAAAGAAATGCAATCTGAAGGTTTTGTCGACGATGGTTTATTTTCGAGAATGAAAGAATTTTTTCTTCCACTTACTATCTCTCAACAAGAGTTGCATTTACATTGGTCATCGGATGGACATATTCAACGTGGTTGGTCAGAAAGACGCGATAAATTACTTGGAAATCTCAAAGAATTCGAAACTAAGCATAAGAAAGAGATCAAAGACTATGACAAATGCAATGATGAAATAAATAGAGTAGAGAAAAGTATCGATGATGCAGAGCGGCATTATTTAAACACAGCAGCAACGTTGAATTCAAAGAGTAATAATATCGAACACACAGGAACTATAAAACCATTCCGAGTATTCGGATGGAAGTCAAAAAAGCACACTAAAGAACAGGCTCAAATTCTTCATCAAGCATATAAAGAATTCGACCAGCGCAAGTCCAGTCTACGTAAAAAATTGAATGAATTGCAAGAAACGAGAAATGCTATTAGAATGCAAATCACGGAATTTGAGACACAAATCGAAGAAGAAAAGGCACGTTTGAACATGATCGAAACGAAATTGAACACACCTCAGCAACCTGTCGACAATCAACTAGTCAAACCTCCGCGTGGTCTGCTTCTATTTGGGCCTCCTGGTAAGTTGAAGAGCGTTCTGTGTTTCAAAAATCGAAAAATGTTTATAAGTCATCTATTCGCACTAGTAGGCAGTTGTTTTTGCGATTTTCACAATTACATAAACTATTTTGATCGATTCAATTTTTCGCTATATTAATCAAATCTATCACTAAAAAAAGATCATATTGCCCATGTCAAACTGGCTTGGGAAAAAAAATTTCTTAGATTTTTTTTTGACAAAAACGAAACCACTGTCATTCCTTAGTTTTTGCAGTCCTGTGTCTTTGCCTATAGACCTTCAACTTTGTTTGATGTTTTGCTCAATACAAAGTTTTTGTTGTTTGTACATCCCAGATTCCTCAGATATCATTAAATGCTAGAAAGTTAAAAAACTTAATAGAGCCCAAGTTTTCATTTTTGACTTAGTTTTTGAGAACATTGAATCTTTTTTACAGGACTACTCCTATTTTTCAGAGTTTTCGAGAAAAAAAAAGCTGACACGAAAACTTAACAAAAAAGAATTCAAACAATCCTGCTCTGTAGGTTTGCAGCGGGAACTGTTAGTCATCCACATCCACTGGCATGAAAATAGATTTTTGACAGGGAGAGATCTTAATACACCGAAGAAGTCAAAATGATTAAAATATTGAGTATTTTCTAACGCATGCTTCATGTGCCCTTCTTAAATCTTTTTGTAAATAGATTTTATTTTATTTCTATTAAAAAGGTACTGGTAAATCAGATATATTGAGTAAATTGGCAAAAAAGATGGGTATAGTAATGATAAGTCCACCATTAGCAGCTGGTGAATTGAATCGACCACTTGTTGGAGAAAGTGAACGCATAATAATTGCATTATGTTCACGTTGTGATCAAATACCTTATGCTATGTGTTGTGTATCAATTGATGAAATTGATTCATTAGCACCGAAACGTAATCAAGATTCGAGTGAAGGCAAAGTAGATAAGATCTCTGTGCTTTTATCTCTGATTGAAGGCATCAAAGATATACCAAATCTAATGATCTTAAGTGCTACTAATCGTTTACATATGATGGATGAAGCATTTTTACGTCGTATGTCAGGCAAATTTTTTGTTGGTCGTCCATCATCGAATGCACGTCTTAGTATCCTTCGAAAAATACCTTTTTGGGCACTGGAACCAGAAGTACTCGATCGACTTTCAATTGCTACAACAAACTTTAGTGGAGCTGCTGTCAAGTAAGTATTTTGCTAAAGATCTTTTCTGTTGTTTATTATGAATGATTAGAGCATTGACTCGTGCAATCACTGTTAAATGTATTAAAATGAAATTTTCGGAACCGATGGCTGAAATTGAAGCACTTCAACTAGCCGATCTTATAGCTCAACAATATCAAGTATTTATTGGTAGTGAAACATTACCTCGTTTACTTTTACGTAATCAACTTACTGAAACTAATCATCATATTCATCAATTACCACCAAGTTTGAAGTATACAGGACGTATGATTGTTGACGTACAAAATCAACGTATACGTATCGAAGTAATTACAAAAAAAGCTAATACAAACAATAATCAATTATCAATTGTTGAACGTAAATTATATCCAAATGAAACTAATATTCAGACTTTACTTGAACGTTTAACAGCATATGGAAAGAGTCGTAATGTTCAACTTCTTCAATTAATTGATCTTAATTTACTTGCTTCACAAGGTGCTTATGATGAAAGAAAAGTCTATGAAACATTAAAAGATCGTTATGATGAATGTGTTTCTTATTCACGTTCAATGATTGTCTATGATCTAGATGCATTAGTCGGTATAAATAAATCACAATCATATTCGAATATAGGTCAATCAATTTCGTGTTCAGTACACAATCAAAGTATATATACATATGTACTTGCGCGATTTCGTGATCGAGCTATGGAAAATATTCAAGAAGATAAAATTGATAATGTTGAACGATGGGCAATAGCTGTAATTCGTGAACCATTTCTTTTACGTCAATTTGCTGAAGAGGCACAATTTCCACGTACATATCAAGAACAAGAAGAATTAGAATTGGAAAGACGCATGGCTGAAGAACTTATCAAATGTGTCAAATGTAAAGATTTTTATACTGAAAATGAAAATCGTCTGGGTATGTTCATATATATATATAAATCATGTTTAGATGATACACGGTTTGTTTTTTGTTTTTCATTATAGGTAGTTGCATTCATCATGACGGTTTTGTCTATGACAATGCAACAACCGATCTTACAATATATGCTCCAAGTGATGCAGCTAAGATATTAAATAGACTTGAACATAAGGCTCTCAATGATGCTAATCAACGTAACGAATATGAACGGCAAAAAACAAGATTCAAATGGATTTGTTGCGATGAACCATTTACAACTATATATAAAGGTGGTTGTAAGAAAGGTAAACATGGATTTTTTCTCAATGGAAATGAGCCATCAGGTCGACAAGTAACTAATAAGAAAATCAATCGACGTGAACAGGCAACGATTGAACAATGGGAAGACTTTTGTTGTGCTAATGAAGAATATGATGTAAAATGGCAGTCATTATTGAATGATAGGTGATGCGTGTTTTATTTCTCTTCAACAAACAAGATCATGAAACTGTTTATTTCTTTATTTTGTTTAAATTATATTATTTCATAAGAATATTTTCAATTTCTCGAACAAATATTTATCTACTTAAAGGAGAATGTGAATTCGAAAATATCGATCTACTTGAAACTGGCTGCAACGTAAGTGAAGATAATTGGATGAAGACTTTTTAACCATAGTTTGAGTATTTTATGATGATTCAATAACTCATTATTAGAAAAAAACATACGAGTTAGTACAAACTAGGCTGTGGGTGGATGTGACTGTGATTGTGGCTTATTGTGAAGAAAATATCCACGATAACAGCCGTACAACATACCCCGGCATACCCTTGTGCACCCACACTCGAATTAACTTTGTTTTAATTTATATTTCCTTGAGTTTCGAATCAACGCGAGTACCATTTTAAGATGCTTGTTGGTGAAATGAAATATCTAAATCATGATTGATCTATGCCCCACACGCACACCCTATTCAGTGTCTCACAATTTTTCTATGCATTCCTATAGATTAAGTCTTCGTTATGCATATACGGGCATCTAGTTTCGAAATTATTTACAAGTTATCTCCAACTATGTATGTCTACATTCTTTACTTTATGAATCATGTTATTGTTTTATATTTTCTATGAAATTCTTTTTTTTTCAGCGAAACCTAGTGTAAAAGAAAAAAAAAAATTATATTTAAGCTGTCCTTTTGCTAAATACTCTCGCAAACACTTCTGACGACAAGTGGAATGATATGAAATGTCGAGGTATCTTAGTTTTACATTTGACTAAAACCATATATTAAAAAGCAATCATTTCATTTGTCTTTTCTTCCCTCTCTTCACAAAAACAAGAAATCCTGTATTCATTAAATAGTATATTTCATCAAACCATCGAAAGATAAGTTTCGTCCATATTTGGCATAGATAACTACGTCTTTTGATCCGACTCTAATTTCTCCTTGCCGAATTAGATCTTTATAACCTTCATTACTGAGTAATTGCGAATCAACAGTCAAATTGACACTTTTAGCACCTGGAATGACATAATGAATTGAAACAATAGAACCTTTCTTTAATATTTCATCTATCGATGTATAGATTTGACATTTTTCAGTTTTAAATTTATTATAAATCACAGGAGATTTCATTGGTCGTTGAAGTTTCCCAACATCAAGATTGAATTTGACTACTGCATTTGATGAAGATTCATTATCCTTAATTTTTTTCGTATATACAATGAGTTCATGTTGACCTGTTCGTTCTGGTGCAAATAAAAGTTGCCAAGGTTTTTTTTTCATTATTAAATTGAGCTAATGATCCATTCTCAATTTTAACATTATCATATTTGATATCACATGAAAGTTGAATATCATCAGATGCTTGTATAAAAATTTTAGCGTAAGATGCATTATCGGGCCAAATAGCGCTTGCACGATTTTCTGGTACTCCAATTCTGAAGTCAAGATCGTGAAAGAGTTGTCATGTGGAATGATAAGATATGGGTGATGATGGAATGTGTTTAGTTTCAATTTTGAATGCAACAACAGTTGTATAAATTTCAGGATCAGTCTTTTTCTTAGCCATAACAAGTGCTTCAAAAAGATCATTACGATTAGGTGTAAAGTTACATCGCCAGATATTTTTTTCGTCGACCATAATAAACTTGTTTTCCACCCATGACTTCTTGTTTTCGTTCATTCTGAAGATGTCCGCGAAGTTCAACATTTGCGAGTGTTTTTGTTAGAATTTCGGCAAGCTTATCTCCATTATTAAGTTACATTAGATACGTATTTCGAGGAGAGATCACTTCCAAGTCGAAGTCAGAAAAGTTCTTCCATATTTTTTGGAATGCTAATTGAATTTTGTGACATTTGTTTTACATCGAGTACAAAGTCTAGTACTGATCTGTATTCACTTATAAATGAATTATCTCTTTTCCCATAAACATATATTTTATGTCTACCAGTGTTGATTGGTGCAAATTTAACAACAATAAATCTGTTAACGTTTATCGAGCATAATATAACTGCTACTATCAATAACTTCATCGTTTAATTTTAAATCTGTCATGAGCTAGACATCTAACGGCGCTTTCAGAGATACTAGAGCATATGATTTACCAGGAATAAGATCGAGATGATATTGATTACGTGGACTAACTAATTCAATATTTAAATCGAAATAAAGACGGTGAAGGTGAGGAATTTCTAAATATTGTGTCATTTTTATTGGAGTTTGTAATAATTGCCATTTATCATCATCAGGTAAATGATGATAGATCATTTCATTAGGACGTGGGAAAAAATAATATGAATTCGGTTCATGTTGAAAAATAATCTGTTTATTGAAATATTCAGCACCCTATGTTGATTCTATTCAATACCAATAATGATCAATCTCAACAACATTTCATGTATCATCAGTTTTATTAGGAGCATCTATGCGATGTGCAAATTCATAACATTTTGTATATTCACTGATTATTTGACACGACATTTGTAATTGATCACATAAATATTTATATATATTGCCATATCCAATAGAAATACCTTTTCGTTTTCGAAATATTTTTTCTGGTGATTGATCACTACATTTGCCACTAATATATGCTCCACTGTCATATTGAATGTTACGAACAATTCAATAAAATATAATCCGATGAGTGTCAATGATTGATTTTCATTTGGAAAATACTTTAATGATGTCCGTAAATTGTTGAAAAGATCTTGGTTGGGATGATTCGATCACTGATTGATAAGATCGATTGTCAATGGCTTGTTGATGTTGTTGAACAGATGAATTATTGAATGCTTGTGGATCAGCAACTAGAATTGGAATATGACCATCTTCACCAGTTAGGTTAGCAATGATAGCATCATCATCTATAGTTTGCTGTGAAAATATGACGTCATTCTTGTTATAGTCATCGTCACCATCATCATAGTTAAGACGTCGATCTATTGATCGATGTATTGCACTAACTTTACTATTTTTACAATTCATCTTTTATTTTCACTCGATAAAAAGTCTGTCGAACAAAAAAAGAGAAAATTTATTGCTTTTTGTTTGACTTCTATGTCTCATGGCTTTATATAAGGCTGCATAATGATAGAAAAAGAAGTTGCAATTAATGGTGAGAATCAGCTTAAATGATTTGTTATTTTTAGTTGACAATGCTTTTAAAATATGGTAAACAGCATTATAAAAATAAAACCAACTAAGAAAAAGAAGCATAGCATTGAATAATAAAAATCATTAGTGTTTTTCATTCATTAAATGTAAGTTTTACAAGGATGTGAGGTATGGATGTGTATGAGTGTGCATGTTAGCTTAACAAGATATACACCCACACTCCATATGTTCATATTTTCCAGGACATGTATCCCATTGTCGAGATATTGTTGTTTACCGCGAGTCCAAGAATAGTATAAGAAACGAGTGTAGTGGTCTATACGATGAGGATAAATCAGGACTTCGACTATTCCATATCTTTTCGTTAAGTTTAACAATAAACTTACTCGTAATTCTTGTTGCATATCAATACATAGAAGAACATTGAAGTTTAAGTCCAGGGTACCGTTTATAAGTTCACATTTTACTAATTTAAATGACTGTAACCACTGTTCTTGATAGTATGACTTCCTTTGGTTAATTACGCGATTTCGACTTGCAGCATAGAGAGAACCAAGTCGTCTGGCCGAATTGATGGCCTTACGCTCAATGAAATCAGCTGATAGTTTCGTTGAAGTTTCGCCGTCTGATTTTGCCATATTATACAATTTAGTCAATTGCTGTCATCAAAAATACCACTAACATAAATGGATTGAGTTTGTGTAATTAGAAAAATTTTGAAAAAGGCCTCGTTCCATGTAAAGTAAGATGAAAACATAAATCAAAGAAGATGATCTATTAAGGTTTAATAGACAGCAAGTGTGATTGCCTTTGCACTAATCTGTGAAAACACTCTCGAGCCTTCTTTAATTAGTTAATATCTGAAATCTCGGCATATTCCTGTTGTTATATTTGAGAGAGAAAAAGTTTTTTAAACAGGAGCAAATTCTCAAAAGAGTATTTGTACATGACAGAGTATAAATAAATCGTACTGATATTGAACGACATTTTAAATTGTTTAAACATATATTTTGATTATCTTAAAAAAATATCCATTCTTCTTTTATTTTGAAATGAATAACCCATAATGAGAGCCATTATCTACTTGCTTTCTACATACCTTGGTATTCGTTGTTTGTCAACACTTTCAATGTAAAGAGAGTTGAAAAAAGGTGTGCTGATTTGACTCCAATGAATATTACTTGATACACATGTCTCTCTGTTTTTTTTGAGACAGGTAAGCAATGAGAAAAACATGAAGCTGTAATTTCATGGTAAGGTTTTTAATAGAATGACCAATTTCTTATCGAACGCAAAGAGCAAATATTCTTCCTTTTTTGCAGTAGTGTATAAATCGATAAATCTTTTACGAGTTCTAAACTTCTATTCGAGTTTTCAGCTAGAATATTTTCTAATTTAAATATTCAACTTTTTAACTATTCAACTATTACAATTCATTAGTTGAATATTCGGGTATGCCTATTCTCTCGATCGACTTGCCAAGCATCCATACCCACACCCTTTCTGGTGAGCTTTTAGATTCAGTTAGAGCACGGCATGATCTTCACATATATCAGCGAGATTTTAACCTTATTCATCATGGAAAAAGTGAACAACTTGTAGTAACTATGCACTTAATCCCCACCATATCCTTTTAGAGAAAGATTATAATTGTAGCATCTAAAAGAGCAAACTTCAAAGATTTTGCATATATAAAAATATTTTTAAACTAGTGTGAAATGCTTGTGTACATAGTCAATCAAGATAAGTATGTTTTTTGTCCCATTCTTAGGCACAGTTTCTCAAAATTTTAATATTACTTTTTGCATTATTCTAGTAAATTTCTTTTTCGTTATAAGAAAGGTGCTCTTATTAAATTAAACACGAATTAATGTATGGAATGAGACGATGTGAAGGATACTATCCAAAAGACTTCTAGTGTCACTGAAAGACAGGATGAAGGATGGCGAACAGTATCGGTAAATAGAAAGAGACCTTTTAATTCTCTTGCGACAGTTTTCCAGTATGTATCTATGTGTTGAAATAGAAAAAAGTTTTTTGCATAATTTCTCTCGTTTATTTTATATAAACAATAAGTGTAAAGAAAAAACTAAAACATATAAAAATAAAATTTTCTCTTCTGCATGTGCTTTAGTTTTTATCAATTATGAAATATCTTTTGTGCAATCATCGAAGGAAAAGTTTTTTTGATTGAATAAAATGATCAAAGTTTAAATAAACGTAAGATAGTTTGTGTCAAATAATAATCACCAAATACGGTAGCTACATCATAAGGTTTTTCAGGATATGGACCTTGTGTTCCATTGGCAATAATTGCACGCAACACATAATCTTTATTACCTAATATCAAATAAGTTGGACTTGCAAGTTGATCTACTATAGATTTAGCACTTGACAAAAAGTAATCTTTCGTTTTAGGTATTGTGACATATTGAGATAATTCAACTAAACCACTAGCAAAAATAGCTGCAGCTGAAGTATCTCGTGGTTGATATTTGAGTGTTGAATTATGAGAAGCATCAAAATCCCAATATGGAATTAAACCTGTACTACTAGGAAGATGTGACAAAAAATAATTTGCTGCACCAATAGCTTTATCTAGAAAAGGTTGATATTTCGTATAACGATAAGCAATAGTAAATCCATGTACAGCCCAAGCTTGACCACGAGACCATGTTGACCAATCAGCATAACCTATACAAAAATACATTGAAGTAATATTCTGACAAAAAAATTTCTTATTGACCTTGTGCAGTGTACTTTCGAATAACACTTCCATCAGTTTCATTATATTCAACTACATGATATGTACTATTATCTGGTCGAAAATGTTCATACATAGTTCGATTAGCATGTTGCCATGCCATATTATACCATGTTTGATTATTTGTTTGATTACTTGCTTCAAATAATAATTCTAAGTTCATCATATTATCAATAATAACTAGAAAACCTTCTTTACTATCCCAAGATCGTGTACATCGAACTAGAGGTGAATATCGAGTAGATAATGAAGCAGCAGCCGTAATAATAATTTGTAAGTACTCGGGTAATTTTAATAAATGATATCCATGACCAAAACTTGACATAATTACAAAACCAACATCATGTGTATCTGTAATATTAGCAACAGGAGTTAATGGTAATGTTAAATCGATTGCCATTTTCAAGATATTTTCAGTTGCATTGAATTCTAATAAATTCCAAAAAATTCCAGAAAAAAAACCATTTGTAAAACTATGAAGAATAGGTAATGATATCCAATCAGTTTGCAAGGGATATCCAATAAATGGAAAAGATTGAAATAATATATCACGATATTGATCGTAGAGAATACTGTATTGAACATTCGCATAGCCCATGACATTGAAAGCAGTTACATCACCACATATCACCAGCAATGTGGTTAGTAGTAACAAAGCAGCCATACGATGATGATAAGAATAAGAAATGAATATAGAATGATAAGAATATTTAAATTTTATATCTCAACAAGTTCTTTTGATTTCAACACAAAAAAAAAGAGAAAATTATTTTTTAGTAGACACAGATAATTATTATCTGTACAGCAACAGACGAATCTTGCACATTAGAATTGCAGTGGAAACGAAGAATTTCGACAAGAAAACTTCATATTATTAGTCGGAATGATCCATCTGTTGCATCTATTTTTGCCAATTTTTCACTTGAAAGTTAATGTGCGAATTAAAGTAAACAAATATAAAAAAAGACGTTATAGAATTGGCATGACTAAACGTTTGTTTAAAAATCAATTTTGAATATAGAAATACAAATATTATTCTTACAATAAATATCTATATCAGAATCACTGATAGTAGTTGTTATTGAAACTAGTTTTTATGTTTAGGCTGAAGATTAATTTTATACATGATTGAGTGATCTATCCAGTACGGAAATCAATCCTAGTGTAAAACTTGAAAGTTGAATTCAACTAATCAAACGTCAATGAAAATAACTTCAGTGGAAATGCTAAGTTTCAATCAAATGGTAACTCTGATGGTTTGTAAAGAAGGCGACAGTGGACGGCAAAAGCACAGTGAAGATGAGCTAGTTGCTTTGTGGTTTGTCACAACTTGGTTGCTATTGTTTTAATACAAATAGAATATGATCAAATTGAATTCAAACTTCAGCCTACATATGTATCTTACTAGATTAACCATTAAAAGCCTAAGGGACTTTTTCTTACAACAGAAGGAAGACAATCATAAAAATAGAGCTGATGGACTCTCAGTGCGTTCATACCATAGCTAAAACGAAGTACCTTGTTCTTGCTCTAGAGTTACACAACGTCCTTTAGCAGCAATCTTGGACCTTCCAAAAACATGAAAGAAAGGAATTTTCATCTGAAATTTCGCCCTTAATCAGTTTATATGATCTTTAAATTGTCCTGAAATTTTCAGTAAAAACGTATGTTTTGTTGTTGAGACATTGAACGCAGAAAAAAAATCGACAACATTGTGCAAAAAACTCATGAAATTCGGCGTCTCTTCCACATGCCGTATTTCCAAAAGTAAACAACAGTTATTGCTGAAAATTTCAGGGTAATCTAAATAGGGTATCAGCTATTTATCACCAAAATTTCAAGTCAAAATCTCTTTGTTTCGATTTTTTCTTCAGGCGGAATATCCTATAGAAGGAACATTTTCTTTATGATAGTGTCTTGCGTTAGTGGAATGATTTAGAATTTACGCGATGGCTTTATCAAATACATTAACACTATGTTTAACAATATCACTTAAAAAAAACCAAAGCCACCGCGTCGTTTATATGAATAAAAATACTTCAGAAAAGAAAAGTGATGCTAAAAAAATGACGAGTCGTAAAAGATTCATTGTTCCACTTATGAGTCACTTGAGAATTGTATTTTCATCTCTGTATGATTACTAAGGTCATGTAGGTTTAGAAAAATATTGGTTTTTGCATACAAGCTTTTGTAATGGAAATTATTGAAATTCTTCTAATGTTCCTCGGAAGGGACATGGGGCTCTTAAGGGTTAATTATATATCTAGGAAACAATAACAGACATATTAAGTTCAGTCAGATTCGTAAACGAACCAATTGTTATGTGCTCGTCTTGTTTTATCTAAATGGGTTTTTAATATTTCTAATGTTGTTCTTTGCATAACTACTTTCTTTTCCTTCAATCAAATAAAACAATATGTATGACATGAACGCATTCAGGTTTTTAAATCGATAGCTACAAAAAGACAAACATGAATTTTTCAATATTATTTAAATATGAATGATTTTACTAAGAAAATTTTTTTTAAAAAAATTTACAAATGATGTATTCATTAAATCTTGTGTGTTTCATATTCGTATTCTTCAATTATCATCTTTTGTCTTTTCTTAACAGCTACCATCTGCTCATGCACTGTAGGATAATTGCTGACGACCTTAATTAAATTATATATAGCTGAGAGATCAAAATTTTCTTGGATTGATTTCAATTTGTTCTTCTGTTCTTCATACTGATTTTCAAGTTTTGACAAATCTCGAACCAATTGTATGTTGAAATCATTTGGTTTTTGAATTTCACAGATATATGTTTCTTCTACAATCATTTCTTCCAAGCCCATCGAAAATGGATCATCTTTTGTAGAACAAGCCGTATGGATAAGAAAATGAGCTAATTTAGCACTCGCATGACACAGATTGTTTAGTATATCGGTCATTTTATTTTGAAGATCACTGGAAGTTTTATTTGAACATTTATAGTCGAGAACATAATCAATTGGAACATGTAGATCAAGCGTACACTTGCACATGAGACAGTCATTATGAACTTCATGTAGACTAGTAGATAAAATCCAAAATTGACCAACTTGCTGTAGATCACCTTTACAAGAACGACAACGACTAGCTGCGAAATGAAGAGGTTTCGAATTTATTTCAATGTATTGATTCGATAGGTTCCCCTTGTATAAGATGAGATTACGAAGAGTATTTCTTATTGTTTCTAATATTGGACGAATCATATAAGAGATTTCGAATTGAGCATGTTTAATCGATTGCCATCCTTTGTCTATACGATATGCATTCAGTTCTTTACTAATATAATTAATCAAACGATTGGATTCTCTTACTGATGTTGACCAACTTATTTCATACTCTTGTTTTTCTTCAGCACTGAATTTAATTTCATTTTGTAAAGCAACTAAATATCGAAATGATTCACTATCAAAACAAAATGTATTCTCTTTTTTGAAAGAAATATCATTGATCGACGATGATGCAAGCATTGCCTTCAGTAATGGAGCTGTATTTCCAGGCGTATAAAATGTTGATCGAGCATTAGTAAAACAAAAGATAATATTATTACGAGCTGTTGGAGCAAGAAGAGAAAACAGTTGAATAAGACATGTACGAAAAAAGATATTTAATCTTGATATATTTGGTTTAAGAAGAAAACAAATAGCATTCAAATGGGTAAGATTATTGATATATTGTAAAGTATGTTCCATATTTTGTTCATCTTGATCAAGACCTCTTGTATCACCAAATCCAGGTGTATCAATAATACGTACCTTTCTTCCATCACCATTACTAAGAGCAAATACATAAGATTTACAATGTTGTGTTACGGATTGACCAAGGGTATTGAAATTCTCATTGTTTAAATTATCGACTTCACCAAATTTGACTGTACGTTCTTCAAAATTATCATCAATCGTCATAATAAATGAGACAGGAATGATTACAATCGGTTCATTTGATTCTGCTTCTTCAAATGAACTGAATGTCAAATAGTTGGCAAAAGCATTAATAAAAGTTGATTTACCAACTCCTGTTTCACCAAGAAGAAGAATATTAATAGTATCATCGTTGGGTAATGGTGGTGATGGAGATGGAGATAATGGTGAAGTTGAAGAAGTTTCAGGGGCGCTAACTTGAGAGGATAGTTTCTGCTTTGAACGATTTTCAAGTTGGTCAATTTTATCTGATGTCGATATTGTCATATGCTGTTGTGGCAATGAAGAATAATGAGAATCAGCATGTGTTGGACATAAGATAGAGCTGCTATTATCTTTTTTATTTGCTTCTCGATGTAGTTTGGTCGATTTCGATTGGCACTTTTCGTTCATAAGGTCACTGGAGCTGAGATTTCGATCACGTGGGTCACTATTAATCAATGAATATTCACTAGTAATTTTATCATCGCTAGTGCTCGAATGATATTTTGTTGTAGGGAAAGATTCAAAACGTTTCTGTTGCAGATTGGTAGTTACAAGAACTCGTGTTGTTGAATTCTCAGGGCTTTGAAAAAGCTCATAAATAATTTCTTTCAGTTTTGCTTCTTTGGCATCGGTCAGCGCCTGATGGATTTTGAAAATTTGTGTCAAATGTTTGCGGGCATTGACTACTATTGTAGACAGTCGATTCATCTTTTGTTTATATATTTCTTTCGTCTGTAAAAATCTATTGTAAGCTTCGTTAGGAAATTGCTGTTGATGTTGATGAAGTGATTTAGATCGATTTTGTTCAAAAGATACTTCCAAGTATTTCATTCCATTTCTACATTGGAGCATATAGTGTTCAATGTCACTTATCAGTGTAGAAGGGAGAGTTCTAAATTCGGTCACTTTTGTTTCATTTATATGATACAACGATGTAATCGCTTGAAGCATATAAGTTACTGGACGACAGAGCTTACTATAGTTCTTGATTTGTTCTATGTGATATAGAAGGTCAGACATCTTGGTTAAACCAGTCAGTGTAGATATATTAGAGTACACTTTGAAGCTGAGAACTTCTTCAAGTAAGCCTTTATCTTGAAAACACAAGTGCAAGCGATTTTTTGTCTTGTTCAGCAGTATACTACGAATCTTGTTAAGAATAGAATTGATTTTGTGATGAATATCAGCTTTTGGTGGCAACTGCAAAATGGCAACAAGATCGATTCCAAACTGTATGCCAGTGATCAAATGAGTAGCAGTAACATTACAACTCCATTGTTTACTAATTTCTTGAACTCCTGGTCGTTTTTTGAGCACTTGTTCATGCTTTATCCAGGAATAGTAGAAAAAGCAAGTGTACTGGTCTATCGGTTGAGAATAATTTAAAACTTGTGCTATTCCGGGTCTAGTAGCTAGGTTCAACAATAAACTTAATCGTAATTCTGGTTCAACATCAATCAATTGAAGTAGATTGGGCTGTGAATCCACAATACTATTTATAATTTCACATTGTGCTGGTTTGGTGGGCGGTAACCACTGTTCTTGCACGGTTGTGCCTTTTTTATCAATTATTCGATCTCGAGTTCCATCGTAGAGACAACCAAGATGTCCATTTGAATTTATTGCCTTACGCTCGATAATATCGGATGATTCGTCGATTGAACTTTTATTAGTTGATTTGGCCATATTATTCAAATTCGTCAATGGAAATCACTAAAAATATCACAAACACAAATGCATTGAGTTTCTGTAATCAAACAAATTTTGAAAAGGGTCTAGCCCCATGTAAAGTGAGGTGGAAGTATAAATCAAAGAACATCATTTATTACGGTTTGAGAGATCGTAAGTGCATTCACCTTGGCACTAGTTTGTAAAAAGACTGCAGAGTTTTTTTTTATTTAGTCAGTGTCTAGGCCTAAGGCATATTCGTGGTGTTATATTTGTGAATGAAAAATCAGTTTACCAAAAGACAGGAAATTCTCAAAAGAGTACCGCTATATGAGAAAAAATTAATAACCTATATTGGTATTGAAAGATATTTAAAATTTTTACAACTATCATTTTATTATAATTATTTAGAAAAATGATTTCATTTCGTATTGTTAATCCGAGAGATACTATACTGATATTTTTTTCATGCTGTATTGGAAGACTTAGAATGAAAGTAATTATAAATTGTAAGAAATTTAAATTTCGAAAAAAACAATTTTTTGTATCTAACAAAAAAGTGTCATAATTCCGTTACTTCCTACATACCTTCACATCCGTTGTTTGTCAATACTTTCAATGTTAAAACATTTCAGAAAAAGTGTGTTGATTTGAATCCAATAGATATTACTTGACACGTGTTTTTTTTTTGTTTCTTTCTAGACAGGCAAGCAATGGGGAAAGAAACATGAAGGTGTAATTTTATTCTAACACTCTCAATAGAACGACAAAACTCTTATCGAACACACAAAGAAAGTTTTTTCTTGTTTGTCAAGAAAAAAAGAATTCACTTCTTTTGCTTCAACAAAGTGCGTATTGGAAACTATCAACTTTGTTTCTACATGCACGAGCTAAATAAAACCAGAAGTTTCCAACTTGAGACAACAAAGGAAAAAACTAAGGAAATCATAGTTGCTATTCATAAATAGACATTTTTTTTTATTTTTCGAGACAAAAAAACGATCTGCTAAGATATTTTCAAAGAGATATAACAATTCATTAATACATTTGTTAATTGTTTTCTTGGGTTGTATCAAAATATCTATTTAGCAGTAATTATCAATCAATATATTTATTCTTGAAACTCTCAAAAAAAAAACTAATACACTATCTAATAGATGTAGAAGTGTCCTGTGTAGTAGATAAAAACATGTGAACACATTTTAATTATAAGACAACTTCAGTTTGTTTCATAATTTCTTTTTGTCCTTGTTCGACAGCAAGCATTTGTTCACATATTTCTGGATAACTTCGAAGCATCTTTATTTGTCCATAAATAATGGCCAATGTCTTTCGATCTTGATTTGAAGCTACTTCACGTTTTCGTTGCTCATATTCATATTGAACTTTTTCTAATTCTGTGATTAATTGCATATTCATTTGATTGGATTTTCGCTCTGCACAAATATTCTTCTCTGTACGAATCATTTGCATTAAACCTAACATAAATTGATCATCTTTCGTAGAACAAGCACCATGCATAAGAAAGTGAGAAAGTTCAGCACTTGCAAAATATATTCGATGTAGCATATCGTTTATTTCACTTAGACGATAACTTGAAGGATTATTTATACTTTTGTAGTCTAATATATAGTCAATCGGCATATGAAAATGAGAGGCACATGAACATGTATAACATTTATTTTGGAATTCATGTAAAGAATCTGATGCAATCCAAAAGGGACCAATACGAACAATATGAGGCTTGCATGAGAAACAAACAGCAGTTGAACGAAGTACAGGTTTTGGACATAGTTCAATTGATATATGTTGCATATTCATCTTAGATAAAATAATAGTTCGCAGAATATTTCTTATTGTTTCTAATATTGGACGAATCATATAAGAGATTTCGAATTGAGCACGTTTAATTGATTGAAATTCACTTTGTATATAATAAGGAATGCAATTGTTACGAATATAATCAATAAGACGATGAGATTCTTTTACTGATGTTGACCAACTCATTTCATATTCATGTTTTTCTTCATGAGTAAATGAAATTTGATTTCGTAGAGCAACTAAATATAGAAAAGCTTCACTATCAAAACAAAATGTATTTTCTTTTTTGAAAGAAATATCATTCATCGAAGATGATGCAAGCATTGCCTTCAGTAATGGAGCTGTATTTCCAGGCGTATAAAATGTTGATCGAGCATTAGTAAAACAAAAAATAATATTATTACGAGCTGTTGGAGCAAGAAGAGAAAATAATTGAATAAGACATGTACGAAAAAAGATATTTAATCTTGATACATTTGGTTTAAGAAGAAAACAAATAGCATTCAAATGTGTAAGATTATTGATATATTGTAAAGTATGTTCCATATTGTGTTCATCTTGATCAAGACCTCGTGTATCACCAAATCCAGGTGTATCAATAATGCGTATTTTTCTTCGATTATTATTATCACTACGTTCAATATTAAATATGTAAGATTTACAACGTTGCGTTACGGATTGACCAGGATGATTAAAGTCTTCATTATATAAATCATTCATATTACCAAATTTGACTGTACGTTCTTCAAAATGATTACCAATAGTCATAACAAATGAAATAGGAATGAATACGATAGGTTCACTAAACTGTGCTTGTTCAAGTGAATTAGATCTAAGGTAATTAGCAAAAGCATTGATAAAAGTTGATTTACCAACTCCTGTTTCACCAAGAAGGAGAATATTGATAATTTCATCAGTTGTTGCTGATGGACGATGTTGATGTACTTCTCTGGTTGATGGTATGAAAGGCTGTTCTCTAGGAGGTAGTGAAACAATAATCGGTGAATTTATGAATGATGAATATGAATTCTGGTTTGATAAGTTTGTGTTATTATTTGATGATAAAATAAACATATTATGTAATTTGTAAGAACAATAGGAAAAATCAGCATAGATAAGACGTAAGTTTGAATTTCGTTGTTGTTCTTGTATCAAATAAAATCGTAATTTATTGAATTGTTCTTGATTATTTTGATTCAAAGTATCATCGGAACAGAGAACTCGATCACGATTATCAGTTTCAATTAATTTCGTTCTGATGGTATTTTCATTATCATGTTTATTTATATCACGTTCGACGACATTACAATAACGAAAATTTTGATTGAATAAATCATTTATTAAATTAGCTTTTGTTTCTAAATCGTTTAGATTCTGAACTAATTCAGTACGTTCATTTTTTAATATGATTTGTTTTTTGTTGCTTAACACATCATCGATAGCGGAGATTTTCACGTGACCATTGCGAAAACCGATTATTAATTCTGATAAATGATCGATTTCGAATAAGTATTCTTTCATCATATGTAAACTTTGTTTATATGCATCAAAAAGTTTTACATCAAGATATCCAGAGAAGAACTTTTGAAGATCTTTCGGAAAAGATTTCGTAAAGTTTATTATCATTTCTCGTTTGTGAAGGATGTATTGTTCGAGATTGTTATTGACTTCTGAAGGTAATATATTAAACTTGATATTATTTCTCATATGTTGAGAATATACTACTGTAAGTGGTTGAAGAAAATAGGTTATCGGAGGATAAGAGTTGAATTTTTTCTGAATTTTTTGTAGTTGATCAAGAAATATAGAAATGTTGTTTAAAGCAGTTAAATCAGGTATGTTTGAGTAAATTGTAATATTAGTAATTTTTCTGAGTCGATCATTTTCTTCAATAGTTAACAATGAAACAATGTCATTATCATTCGATAGAGATCTGGTAATTTTCTGAAGTGTATGATCAATTTCAGAAATCAAACCAGTTTCTGATGGTAATTGCAAAACAACAAGAACATCGATTCCATAGTTGATACCAGTAATTATATGAGTAGCAGAAATTTCAGGCTTGATTGAATCGATTAATTTCAAATTTCTTATGATTTCATTAGATACTTGTTCTTCTCGATCGATCCAAGAATAGTATAAAAAACGTGTATATTCATTTATTCGATAAGAATAATTCAAAATTGCAGCTATTCCAATCTTTGGTGTTAAGTTCAATAATAAACTTAATCGTAAATCATTTTCAATATCAATAGTTCGAAGAATATTATGACTTGCATCTGAATTACCATTTATAATTATGCATTTAGCTGATCTAGATGACTTGAACGATTGTTTCGGAACATTTCTATTAACTTGTACAATTAAACAATCTCGATAGCCATCATAAAGTGAACTGAGATATCCAAATGCATTAATAGCCTTACGCTTTATAATATCTGATGATGAATAATTTGATAATACCATTGAATGCTTTGGTAGCATAATAACAATCAACGGATACTATGTAAATTTTTTTTTATCTAAAACATCGATGAACTTTTTTGTTTCTAACTACATGATTCTTAAAAATGCCAATAAATTAACGATCTATTCATGATCAAATTTCGCAATAGTTTTTCATAAATCTTAAACTTTACGAGCTTTCCTATTTTCAAACTCAAACACTTACGATTTTGTTTTTCAAATATATTATCTCAGTCAATGGCACAGGAAAACTCCATCATTAGCATTATGATTGATTAAGCCATATACATACTTATCACGACAGCTAATATATAAATTGTATAGTGTACTCTAGTGAAGACAATTACTGAAATCAACTTCGAAGTATAAAGAACGTAGGATTATTTATTTGGGAGAATATTTAATGACTTAACTAAATAATATGAACCATTACTTTGGAGTTTTATTTCGATCAGAAAAGATGTAAGTCTATACGTCTTTTTTTCTTATTAACAAAATTGACTTACCATTCTTTAATTACCTACGTGGTCAACATCATGTTACATATTTCTTTTTCCTTTTTTCGGTAGTGATGAATTTAAGTTTGCTTATATTAAATGCAACAAATATTGTTTTACCTTGAAAGATGTTTGTTCACTTCATGGTTAAAGAAAGAAAAAGAAAAAAAAAAAATTATGCAGTTAATAACAAACAATTTAACACAGAAAAATAGAAAAAAAAACTTTCTTCTGAATGCAGAAAAATAATTGCTTTCAATCTCATTTGTACGATAGAATTTCCCATAAAAAAATGTACATTGAAATCATTTATGTTCTATTTTGATAAAATAGTATAGCGATGTAATTTATTCACTTATTTCTAGTTTTCAAGAAAAAAAATCTTCATCTGAATTGTTATTTCCAATTTTTGCTAATTGGATAACTTGTAGGATTTCTAGTGGTACGATTGTTTATTTGACAGTGAATGAAAACTCTAATGGCTATTGAAAGAAAAAGTCTGAATTAGAACAAAGTTTGATGAGTTTCATTTCAAAGTCTTTAGATGTAAACAGAATAGCGTCGATGAATTGTAAATTATAATTCATAAGTTATTCAAAACATAATAAAATCAAGGTAAAAATGAAATTGTGCAGATCATTTTTTTTTTCTTTATTTTGAATTTTGATATTCGAAAAAGAAAAAAACTCAAGTGTACAAATGTTTAATCAAATTTAATTTTATTTATCACTATTCATAATAGAACGACGAATTGTTTCAAATTCATCGTTTTATATTAATGAAAATTATGTGAATTAGAATAAGATTATTTCGGTTTTACATATATATGACAGTTTTGCCAATTTGTAATTATTCTACTGACCATTGAATATTAAAATGTATCATGTTTATTTGCTCGATATATTGATGAAGTTAGAAAGATTGTTATTTTTGAATCACCAAATTAAAATTGATTACAAATATTCTAAAACATGAATCATTGCAATCTTATATTGCTCCTCTATTTCTGCACTTCCATTCTTTGTACATATCTCGATATCTTTGGTTTCTCATCAAGCAGTATGGAACACTACAAGAGTGTAGGTGTTATTGTTTCTTCCATCACACCCTTTCGAAATATAAATTAATTTTCATCAAGATGCAAAACTTATGAAACATCCTCTATTCAACAAATATTCTACTGAAAAAATCTTGAAAAAATTCATAACAAATCATTTGTTAGAATGAATTATTTTCTCAGCACAAGTAACAAGATATTGAAATCTATAGAGCTATCTTGGTAGTTTAATGTACGTTTGTCGAATATCACACTGTAAGAATAATGAATATTTAAAAAAAAAATATCATCGATTTTTATCGAGATGAATCATTTATTTTCATTGAAAATAGTTGTCAATCAATTTACATTAGTTTGCACATTGTAGGAGAAGATAAAGGTGATGATGTAGATTGAGAAATTGCATCTGTTAATGGAATATAACGTTTAATCTCATGAAGAAAAGTAAGATAATCACTAATTGGTAATGTTCTGTGATGTATATTGGCCAATTCACCTTTCAATGATTGATACATAGACTCACGATTGATCATACAAATTTCATAGAGTTGTAAAAGTCGATGACCGTCCAGTCGTGTACATAGAAGAAGTAAAGTATTATCAAGTCCATTTGTTAGAAAAAATGATTTAACGTCTTGATTAGTCCATTGAGTAATACAAGGAGGTAATTCGCTGAATAAAGAAATAACATCGAATGAGAAAATACAAACAAGGATATGTAACTATTACTGATAATTTTATTCTCTAGCACAATTCGTTCATGAAATCAAAAGTTTTAGATTGCTCTTCTATTTCAATGTATACTTAGAAATAGTAAAAAATTGGCCTTTTATGTTTATTTCAAATAAAGAATAATTTTTTATTGTAAAAATAACTGTTGACTATATTCCAAGAACAAGACTATTTCAGTACTATCTTCAAAATTATTACGTTTATTTTGAAAAACTTCATTTTCCTTGTGATCATTATCAGAAATAACTTTCAATTCTATGAATTTTTCAGTTATGAATTTCAAAACAAAGCTTACGCTATCGAACGTCTTCGAATTAGTGCCGAAGCTTCTTCACTGGGTTTAGAAACGGTAGACGATGTATCTTGATGATTGTTTTCTTTTGATTTCACCATCGAATAACTCCTATTTAGTTTATGATATTGATTAATTTCTTTTTTTAACTTCTCATAAGCCAATACAAATTCGAGTTTGACAAAATCTACATAAATTTTACCACTTACGATAATACCAAGCCATCCATCAGGTTTATAATAAGATTTCATAATAAGTGGTATCAAATGACAACGTCGTTCAAATGCATAATGTGCTTCCGATTGACAATAAACACTTTGTTTATATGCATCCGACATACATATGAGAACAACTTCAGAATTTTCAATAGCTTCTGCCATAGCAATCATTGTAGCTCCATGCATATTATCACGATCGATCCAAACACTAAATCCATCTTGAACAAGTCGTTCATGAATTTGATAACATAATTGTTGATCACTATGTGAATAACTTATCATAATATCATATTTATACAATTTTGAATTAGTCAATTTAGTAACAGCTTCAGTTTCTTTTTCTAATTTCCATAAAAGAGCTTCAACAGCTCGTTGTATATTTGATTTATTTGATTTAGTATTATCAACAAGATTTCGAATGCTTGTCATAAAATTTTTATTCTGTCTTAAAATCAATGAAGCATCATTATTAAATGAAAGTGCAAGAAGAATTTCGAGAACTATTCCTTTGACTCTAATCAGATCAAAGTCAGTTTCAATTATACATCGTATAAGTAATGGTAGTGCATTTTGTTTTATTAATTCGATTTTGACTTGATCATGCTGTACAAAGTCTAAAGTAAAAGTATCCTATGAAGATATCGGAAAAACATAAACAATATGTAACTTACTTTTCAAACTCTGTAATATACCATAAAATCGTTCTTTTTTCTTGGAATCATCAATGGTATTTGTAAGAAATTTAACGTGAACATTCGTAATCTTACTTGGACTTGCGATGGTTTTGATATCTGCTTCACTCATTAATTTACCTAAACAACGATAAATATTCAATTGTGTTTCATCCTGTTGAACATCGGTCATTTGAAGTAGCATTGGAATTAAATTTGGTATAGTTTTCATAAAATTTAATAGATTTGTATGTAATGTAAAATCGTATAAATGTTGAACAATAAATCTTTTTATTAAAATAATATTCGAATCATCTGATGAATAATTAAGTATTGATGATAAAAATGATGACCAATGAGAAACTAATTTACAATAATCATTATAAAATTCTTGATTTGAAATATTGACATTTTCCCATTCAATTGGACGAACAAGTATATGATTTAAATGACGTAATATTTTTCCAATATCTTTAGAACAATAAATTATTGAATTTGAAGGACAACTTATTATCCATTGAGTAAATGGGCTCAATAATATTCGTGGTATTTGAAGAAAAAGATCTATATCACGATTAGCTGGATACCATTTAAGATATAATGAACATGTACTAAGAAGAAGTATATGATCATAATTGAGATTTTGAGAAAAATTATTTTCTAATGTTTTTATCATTTCAATAGAATATGAAGAACATAAACATTTAATAACAGCAAAACACATGGAAGTAATTGATGAATACTCATTTATTATACTTTGAAGTCTATTAAAATATTGATATGCAATTAGTAGGAAATGAATTGAACTTAGAAGAAGATGATTATCTAAGTATTTGCCATTAGTACTAATCTCATTCAGACAATGGATAAGTTCATCCATTAAACGTTGATGAAAAAGAAGTTGCTTGAATAGATGAGCATTGGTATTATTAATATGACGACTGATATTTGCAAAGAATGCTGACAGACTGGACAATAATTCGTATGAAATATCTTCATTTTCTCTTCGACAAAGATAATCGACAAGAACAGAATCACGTAGGATAATAAAAAGTGGATGTATGATGAGTTCTGAATCAGCAAGTTGCTTATTCTTGGATGAAAAATTAGTTAATAGAGGAACAATTTGTTTGATTAATGTAATATCCACATTAGAGCTATCAGACTTCGTTATTTCGAAAACGAACGCATCTAATGATGCTTTGAGTTGCTCAATACTAATGGTTACTGCTTGTTCTCGAATTATGATACAATGTTGATCCACTACAGTGTTCATCTTTGATTACTCACTTCAAAAAGAAAGAAAAATTATGCATAATAATAGCTCAAATATTTTTTGAACAAATCTGTAATTCCACAACATTAAAAACAGGAATGAAAAATAATCCTCATAAATAACTTGAATTGTCGACGATATATATTTCAACAGTTGAAGAAACTGCTGATATACTGACGAATTCGTTAAGTATCGTGGTATATCAAAGATAAAAAGTCAATACAAATCGTATTTATTTTGATATATTTCGATTTTTACGTCTTTATTACGATGTTAAATATTTAAATCATATATGCAATTCATAAATCTAATGATTCTCAGAATAAATGTATACTGTCCTAGACAATAAATTAGTAGTTTAGTGAATTTTGTTTACAAAAAATTCATTTAATTAATTCACTGTGTACGAAAATGTACGTTTATTCTTAGAATTATAAGACTTACATGTCAGCAGATCTAAATCCTGATCCTATCGGTAAAAACAAAAATACAAGAGCCTTCAAGTCACTATCACAGACACTGTCGGTCAATATCTGATATAGTGCACATTACATGTAATGATCTACCAACTGTTTTTCTTCAGTATCAATCATATGAGTATGGTTAGAAACGAACTCAGAAAAGCTGTTTTCTAAGACAATGTATTTATTTACAATGCAGTCATCAACAGACAATCTATTCGAATTTCTAAATAGTGTAAAAACAAACTTTCATGTTTTCATTCGGAAGAACAATCATTTTTAAAAAGATACGAAAATAAAAATAGTTCAATATGATTTATACCAAAAGAAAAACTTGATTACTGACTATGTTCTTCACAAAATAGTACAAAATTTTCGAATATAAATGTGTTCAAAATTATTTCACAATTTGAACATATTTATTAAAAAACATTAAGGTAATCTTTCTGTTATCTTGTACAAATTACATAACGAACATAATGGGTGATATTGTTATTCTAAAGATTGTTTGTTTTTTGGTCCATAATTTGAAATATTTATCTCGAATGGTTTTACAATATGCAATATATTTCAATGCTCGTAACTTACCTTTTCAATATCACTTCGAAGAATCAAACTAATGGGAGCTGTTGTCAAAAAATTTAGATATTTAAAAAAAATGTGTAACAATATTTTTTTCTTCATATCTTCCATATGCTTTCTCTCTCACGAAATAGTCAACAAGAAGAGAACGTTTTTATATGATATACTTTTTTCTTCCTTTTATCTTTCGATGTTTGAAT